AACAATCCTAAACTTTTAAGACTCAATGTCTTGCTTAGGAAAGTCAAAGGATGTTGATCTTTCATCAAAACAAGTCCTAAGCCTTTGTTAGAGGCATCTGTCTCTAACACAAATGGTTGACTGAAATTAGGTAGCCGAAGGACTGGAGCTATCACCATGGCTAATTTAAGAGTCTAGAATGCTTCATCTGCTTCTCCACTCCACTCAAACTTTTCTTTCTTAGTTAAAATTTTCAAGGGTTTAGCGATCATACCATAACCTTGAATCAATTTATGTAATAGCCCGTGAATCCAAGAAATTCTCTCAATGCTTTGACATTTAAGGGTCTAGGCCAATTTTGTATAACCTGAATTTTTGTTGGATCCACTTTTACACCATTGTTCCCAATAAGATGACCCAAATCCTCCACCTTATATTTCCCAAAATTGCAGTTAGGTATCTTTGCAAACAAAGTATGTTGAGTTAGAATAGAAAACACAATCCTCAAATGGTGTAAGTGCTCAGTCAAATCTTTGTTGTAAATCATAATATCATCAAAAAACACTAATACAAAATCCCTTAAATAAGCACTAAAAATGGTGTTCATCATAGCTTGGAATGTGGCAGAGGCATTGGTGAGCCCAAAGGGCATCACAATAAACTCATATAAGCCAGATGTAGTGACAAAAGCTTTTTTGAATATCATTTTCATGCATTCCGATTTGGTGGTAACCAGTCTTCAAATCAATTTTAGAAAAAATTGTAGTTTCCCAAGCTCATCCGAAAAACGTCAACCAAAGGGATTGGATAGCTATCTTTTATCGTGGTTGTATTTAACTTCCTAAAATCCACACAGAAACGCCATGTGCCATCCTTCTTCTTAACCAGTAAGACAAGTGAAAAGTAAGGACTATTACTTGGCCTTGTAATACCTGCTTGTAACATTTTGTTAACCAACTTCCCTATCTCCCTAATTTGGATTAACGGACCTATAAACATATTGCTTAATAGGTTTGGCATCCGGTTTGAGTGAGATTTTGTGACCCACACTCATTTGTGGTGGTAATCCCCCAGATACCTCAAAAACGTGTTGAAACTCCTTAAGTAGAGTAGTTATTTCTGTTTGGCAAGAGGGTATATCATATTTAATTTAAGCATAAATATTACAGAGAAAAACACATTTATAATCTGCTCTTATTATCTCCATTTTTCAATTGACTTGCCGATAATATATCTAGAGTGAGATCATACCGAATTCCTTTTAATGCGATCAACATTTCTTTGATGTTAAACTGCACAGTATGATTTTTGAAATTTATGAGGATCTCCCCAAATTGGCGCAGCAAGTCAACTTCTATCACCATATCGCAGCCACCCACCTTAAGCAATATAACAGATGTACTGAATGTATGTCATCTCATTTTCCACTCGAATGAGAGGCACTTTAAATTACATTCCACCTTGTTTCCATCGACCACAATTATCATCCATGAATCTGTGTACTCAATGGTGCAACCAGCTTAGTGGCTGCTTGAGGATAAAAGAAGGTATGAGTACTCCTTGAGTCTAAAATAATGATTAACTTGTAACCTTTGGCCCTGCCCAAGAGTTTGATAGTATTAGATGGTGTTTGACCAGCAATATCATTTAAGGATATTTGAGGATCCTTAAACTCACAATCCCTCTAATCCAGTTTTAAAGGTTCATTGCTGCCTTGGTCATCCTCTTCTCTTATTATAAGATACAATCTCTTGCATTTGTGCCCCAAATAAAGTACTTCAGCACAATTAAAACATAAGTTCTTTTTCCTTCTTGCTTTCATCTCTCCGGGTGTTAACCTTTTGATTGGTAGGGGTTTGGTTTTCCCCGAATCACCTATCACTTGGTTTCCTGCTGTTCCAGAAGTTGAAGGTATAACAAGATTACCCAATGTCTTTTGTCCCTTATTGAACATATTAGCAATATCGTCACTTTGGAGAGCCAATTGAATGGTAGACATAAGGGTATTAAGCTTTTGCATAGCAAAAAAATTGCCAATATCCTTTCTCAAACCCCCGATAAAACTCTCCACAAAGTATTCTTTATTCAAGGCCTTGTTACTTTCTCTCATTAAAGTCTTCATTTATTCAAACTCTTGAGTGTACAACCGTACAATAGTGATTTGTCCGAGTTTATTAAATTGAGCAACGATACTACCTCCAGCTGGATTCATGAATCTCTCCAACACTAATCTAGTGAATTTAGCCCACTGCAGGTTAGGTCTCCCTTCGATATAGTCTACAAACCCATTATTAGCTGCCCCTTCAAGATTCATAGCAACTAAGATAAGTTTGTCACAATCAGTCGTTTGATTATAAGAAAAATATCTAGAAAATTTTCTAAGCCAAATCTAGCATTATCCCCATTGAATTTAGGAAATTCTAACATTAGTTTATTATTAGGCAAACTGGAATAAGGCTCGTTCAGTCTAGTTGTTGGGGTGGACTCAAGAGCAACGCGTGAAACAGAAAGATTAAGAGGCTCCTTACCTCTTGTCAAAGGTCATGTATGTTGTTCCTTTATTAGGCTTAGGAAATGAGTTTTCAGCATCTCTCTTAGGTTTTCTGACTTCGCATCCAACTTCGATTCTAGTCTAGCTTTCATTTGGATTTGGCATTGCAGCATTGTGCTTTGGCCTTCCATTACTTCTTTCATCTGTTGCTCCAGAGTATCGATGAGTCTGTGATGGCGTCATCAAAAGGATCAGTAAACTCTGAAACCAAATTGTCCTACAGATAGGAATTGCAGAGGAATTTGCGAGAAGAAGAACCAAATAAGTTTGTTATTATTTTGCAGAGTAAAAATCATTTTTGATCTCATTCAATATCATAATTATCAATTTTGGTCTCACTCAAATGAAAATTTATCAATTTTAGTCCCAAGATAGTTGACTGGACTGAACACGGCCATGTTGTCTTGAACACGCTGTGTTGGATGACTCAGAAGGTGACTGGGCGTCCCAGGCAACCAACACGGTCGTGTTGATTACCCTGCACTTCTGAATACGGCCTTGTTCTTGCCTGTGTTCTGAACAGAGCCATGTTCCTGCGCATGTTCTCAACAAAACCATATTCTAGGCCATGTTCCTGTCCATGTTTTCAACAGAGCCATGTTCACGATCATGTTTTCAATATAATCATATTGTAGGTCATATTTATTATTATTTTCACTTTTTGGTTAAAATTATTTGATATATATATTTATAATTCAACAAAAATATTTTTTTACAATTATTTTATAATATAAAAACTAATTAATTTTAATATTTTAAAAATATATAAAAATAATAATATATTAATATATATTTTTAATAATACTCCTTCCGTCCCACTTACCATGTCCACATTGCCGTTTCTGTCCGTCCTACATCCCATGTCACTTTTCTTTTTTTGGAAAATAATTACACACTATTTTTTAATTTAATTTTTTATTTAATTTTAATTAAACTAATGAGTTATCTTAATCTTAATTTATAATTATTTATATTATATGATAATTATTTTCACTAATACATTCTTAATTATCTACTAATTATATTATCCTAAATTCTCGTGTCTACAGTGACCCAGACATCCAACTTGGGACACAGAGAGTATTATTTTAAAATATTATTTTGAATAATAAATTTAATTTATAATTTATAGAAATAATTAATTTAAAATAATATTTTAAAATTTTTACTATAAATTTTTAAAAATATATATAATGATGATTATATGTATTAATATATTATTATTTTTTATATATTTTAAAAATATTAAAAGTTGATTTTTTTATATTATAAAATAATTGTAAAAAATATTTTTGTTGAATTATAAATATATATATCAAATAATTTTAACCAAAAAGTGAAAATAATAATAAATATGACCTACAATAGGATTATATTGAAAACATGGTCGTGAAAATGGTCTAAAACATGACCGTGTTGAGAAATGGGCAGGAACATGGCTGTAGGGTAATCAATACGGCCGTGTTGAGACCAACACGGCCATGTTGGCTGCCTGGGACGCCCAGCCAACACGGCCGTGTTCAGTCCCAGTCAACTATTTTGGGATTAAAATTGATAAATTTTTATTTGAGTGGGATCAAAATTGATAATATTTTTTGAATGGAACCAAAATTAATACTTATGATATTGAACGAGACCAAAATTAATAATTATAATATTAAATGAGACCAAAAATAATTTTTTTGCTCTATTTTGCATGATTGTCTTATGAGGTAATATAATGGTTAATGGTATTTGGAGAGTTCTCAACACACACGTTTACAAAAAAGAAATACGCTTTTAAAAGGATACAAAATAGCAAGAATAGCTTCGTGACACTTTACTGCCCAAGTAATCGGATGATGCATCATCATTTATATATATATATACATATATATGATATGGTCGATTCGATGCGATGATTGATAGATAGATCTCTCTCTTTCTTTCTTTCGGAGATCTCTTAAAAAGGACGATTGGAGCGAACTTAATAAAGAATAAACTATGCGCTGTCCAACACCGACCCACCCACCTCCCCGGGCAGTCACCGGCCAAAGTCACTATAAATCAGCCCACCAAGCACCACATGCAATGCCATTAGTCCACTGTGTACTGCCAACTACAATGTCCATATGCAAAAATATATAGTATAGTACTTGTCAGCTTAGACGCTGTCACGTTACTTGCCATGCTTGAAAAGTGTTTCTTCTATTTTATTAGCCAAGTCTCAACAACTAACACCTGAAGAACACAATTATAACGCCTGAACTAGAAGCCTACTTCCCATCTCGTCGCCCCCAGAACACAAACAAACAATTTGTTTTGTTTGTTCCCCTGTCAAGTCAGACCTGGTCCGTTGTAAAGATGGTCTAGAGTTTCGATACATTTCATAGACGGCTCCACATCAGTCCACATACGGAAAGGGAATAGACATGTTATAAATGGATGTGGACGAGCATATATGATATCCAGCCACACCTGTATATACATGTCAATTGTAATATAATTTATCCAAAAAGCTTAAGGCTTGCCTTGTGAGTGAAAACACTAGTGTTCTCATGCAAAACTATCGCTCAGCACAACTCGCAACAAGGTGTTGACAGAAATGGTGAAAACAGAAGGGAAGGGAAGGGATATTCTTTTTTGAGAATGTCTGACCTTCCTTCCACTGGAGCGAATAGAAAAGATAAAAATAAAAAATAAAAATACAACACTCGTATTGCTTTGCCCATTTAACAGCACCGAGCATTGCATTACAACCTAGGAGAAGAGATTGGCATGTGTAGCCTCTCAATTGACTGTAAATTCAGCCAACGCAACTGAGACAAATCATTCTTTCCCTCTTTACCTTTCACCTGGCCACAATAATAAAATTTCTTTTGTGAGCGCCCATCACATTTTTGATAAATGTGTCTACATTGATCTGCCCAGACGCTGATCTCTGATTAACACCCTTTCCGCACTTGGAACGCATAGAAATTAGGTTCTTGCTCCTCGAAATATAGCCAACAAGCAGCAGTCTAACTTCTATTGATTTACATTGCAGTCATTCAGGAACTGATTTTGAGGGTCCAGAAACTTCCTCCATATTCTTCTGTACTTCGGAATGCTGATCTCAAGCCATGGTTTCATGCTCCCATCAAAATGCAATACCGCTGCAGATTTTATGGCCTTAGCATCCACAGAATAGTTGTGGCCCAGTCCAGATAACATCCAACTATCCTCAAGTGCATAAACAAGACCTTGAAAGGTGAGTAGCCCAGCCCTCAATGTAGCTGTTTCAGATAATCCGTGTTTGCTCATCTGCTACCAAAATGAGAATAGAGCTAACAGTTACAAATATCCAATGTCGTAAGACTGAAATGCAGCCTTGCTTGATGCAGGCATAACACACCAATCATAAAAAATTTATTGGGTAAATTGATTTTTTTGTCCAGTAACCGGACATTTTTATCATTTTAGTCCCGTAACTGAAGCCTGTCGCAAACTAGTCTTGTAAGTGAAAAATTTTCATAATTTTAGTCCTCCGATGGCAGAAATGTCTACGTGCACCCACATGGCTCGCCAGAGAATACGTGTCCACCAGGTCAACGACACCGGACAGACAAGTGAATTTTTATTATTCTTTCTTTTTTTTAAAAAAGTAATAATTTATTTATTTTATCTTTTTGTAAAAATTAATAATTTAAAAAAAAAATTGAACATTGAAAAATTTTGAAAAAAAAATTGAAACGGTGAAAATTTTAGAAAAAAAAAAGTAAAAATACACGTATCCGTCCGGTGTCGCTGACCTGGCGGACACGTGTCCTCCGGTGAGCCATGTAGACATCTCTGGCATCGGAAGACTAAACTTAAGAAAATTTTCCACTTACAGTACTAGTTTGCGACAGGTTCCAGTTATAACACTAAAATGATAAATGAGTCCAGACTAAAAAATCAGTTTACGTAACTTAATTTTATTATGCCACTATTTCAAGTGGTAGGATTTCAAAGTTACTTGATACTAAGAAAGGGCATGAGATCACCAGCCCCATGGCCATTCCTGCCCTGCCACACCATCACACAACGGTGTGATATACACCATTGCATGTATTAATAAGTGACTATACATAAACACAATGGTGTATTGTGAATAGGTGCAGGCAGGCAGGGCAGAAAGAAATTTGAGGCTGGTGATCACCTCCCCTATGAAAGTAACCATCTAAATGTCAAGGTATGGTCTCCCATTCTCAGCTATGAGGATTAACACTCTGGTGTGATGAATTCAATATGCACATTGTCCAACATAAGGATGTGTTCTCCTAGGTACCAGGAAGTAATAACATATCAAAAGCAAAGCAAAATAATGCCATACCACAAATAACATGTAGATATAATGAAAACATGACAGGACCTAGCACTTAGCATCAAGAGTCAGGCAGAATGAGTGGAAAGAGGGAAACCAGCTTTTACGACACTAAAATGTAACTAGTAATAGTTAGAGATTTGAAAAGTAATTTCAGTCCAAGCAAAAAACTTGTTTAGAAAATGAGTATGTTTCACTAATTTATATGAAGCACGACTGTACAACTCTGCTATACAATTATTGGCAAACTGAGTGAAAATAGTCATCCACCAAAACTAATTACAGGTTGATCCGTCGGAATTCAAGAAGTAAATTCAACTCTCTAGCACAAACATTTGGTAGCTTAATTGTTTCACTAAATCAGAAGGACCATTGTATGCATTAATACATCCCATGAAGCAATTCACAATAAATCCAGCCTCAACCACTCACCCTATCCTACCCTCCCTCCCTTAATATATATATAAAAAAAAAAAAAAAAAAAAAAAGATCAAATGGATTCATCTTAGAAGTTTACCATTATAATAACCACATTAATAGTGTATATATACATTAACATTCAAATTCCCAATCCACTCATAAATATAAATATTAGCATTATAAAACTTTTTATCAATGATAATTTTCACCCACAAAGATCAGGTGTACTGCATATCCAAAGCTTAAGGACTAAAGTTCTACAAGAATGGGCTTGGTCACTCATGTGTTTTTCTTTGTTTTTTACTAAACCTACTATTTTCCCTCAAAATGATCATTTCCAATATCCTTTTTTCATTCAAAGAACCAAATCAAATAACTATTCTAACCTCAAATATGTTGAAATTAAACACACAAAACAAAAATAAAAACACAAATGAACAAACCAATGGTTTTTTACTATAAGCAGTTGTTTGATTGTTCCTGTGAGTATGAGAATGTCTTGGTCGTACTATCCTTTGATAAAAAGAAAAGAAATGCTGAACATGAAGGGGTGTGATCAATTAAACAGAAGACTGAATATTGAAAATTACTAATAAGTCAACTCAAGTACCATGATGCATCCTCACTATAAAATCTAAATTGAGTAATAAGATGGCAATACCAAATTCGATAACATAGTGCCAATTAATCAAATCTCACAGGATATTGTAGATATAAGGTCAATTTCTAATGGTATGTTCAAAAGTTAGAGTGGTACTCATGATTAGGGTTCAACATAAGACTGTTAACAAATGGGCTGCTAATTTCCATGCACCTGCTTGCATATATTACAAATATCAGTAATCATCAGTTCTTCAACATGTCAATTCAGGGAAATTTCAATATTTGTAGGCTATTATGTTGCATTGTAGGAATAATAGCATTAGGAGTAAGGTCAGAAAATTTAATGGTAAGGCGGTAGTTTGTTTCCCTATTTGCAGTGACCTAAGTTCTGTGTCTCTTTTCTGATAGAAGTATAAATATTCCCTTAAAAGGAGTAAGGTCACAAGTTAAAGGCTAATTGGGTTATTTAATTTCACACTAAGCTATGTCTATCAAAGCTCAAGGCCAGTTAGATTATTCCAGATTCAACCAAGGCTGTAGTATTTTAGGTTAATGGAGCAATTAAATTTTTGGAATCAACTTTCTTGACTTAGGGTAGGGAGAATATCTCTATAAGACTGGGAGAAGGTTTTGTACTTTATTTATTTTGTTTAATTCCTTCACAACAACTTATTTTGTTACATGACAATGGTCCATTGTATCCATCCTTCTTTACATAATCAAGCAAACTCAAGCTTGGCTTGATCATAATACTTTAGTCAAATTAACACCTTTAATCACTATCCCCAAACAAGAGCCAAGCCACCATCACCTCACAATGCTACTACCATTGAAAGATGTCACTGCTGCAATAACTGTCAGCCCACAGCAGCATTTAGATGACCCTTCTAGTCACTAATGACCATCACCACTCCACATCTCTTGACAGCATAGCCCCCCTTGAGAACAAGGTTAGTTTGAAGAGGGTGGAAATGCTATAGAAAATAGCATCAGGACTAAGTTCAGTGGGATTGAGACCATTAGGTCATTTAAGATTAGCCTAAACTGAATATTAATAAATGTTCAAGATTAGCCTCTTAGGTTTGTACTTTATAGTGTAATTGAGTTTTTGAATTGGCCTTTTGGCTTAGGGCAAAAAGAATATCTCTATATGACCAGAAGTAATTCAAGTATTTCACTTGCTTGTTCTTTTAATTTCTTCGTAAGAAAATATATTTCTATGCAACACACATTCAGTCCGTCCACACTTTTAGACAGCTAACCATGCAAGATTCGTCTTCAAAAGTAACTATTATATTAAAGACTCCAATAAACATTTCCAATTGCAAACCTGGGAGTAATCCTCCACCAGTTTTATTATAGTTATGCCTAATTTATGTCTTTCACTTTGCAGGACTTGAGCAACCAGAAGAAAATACCAAATACTGCTCAAATGTTAAGAAAAGTGTTGACTCACCTGCTGAACCAACCTCTGGTATGCCTCTGTAAGATTATGTACCCTCCACCGAGACATATCAATAACATTTAAGCCAGATGTCCATGCACATGAATTTCCCTCTACACTGCTACCTGCCAAGTTTGATTCCAGGTGAAACAACTTTACTGCACAGTACTGCACAGCACCATTTATTTTGCCCCCCATGTCAAGGTCCCAGAGGGCTGACAAGTCTCTCTGAACAATGACATCATCATCTAAGACCACAACTTTACCAAAAGATTGAAATATATAAGGGAGGAGATAGTGGGCATGAGAGAATATGGACAGATACTTTGTTCTAAATTGAGAAGAAGCAATATTATCAAGCCTATGAAATGAAACACGGAATTCTTCAGGCAATGACAGGTATAATTGCCCAACCATATGATGATTATACAACTTCGAGTCTTCAATATTCAGCACCTGAACAGCAGCATCACCATACTTAATATTGAAAAACCAAAATTTCATAGCGAAGTAATTTTCTCTATCAGTCAGCAGATGGAAAACCAGTTTCGCACTTTCCTGCAAACGGAGAAAACCATGTTAATGGTCCAAACAATAAATTAAAGTTCAGTCAAAACAGATAAAATATTAGAGGGAAAAATTTCATACTTTTGCATGCAGTACAGTTGAGTTGATAACTACAGATGATGCTAGAATATTTCTGGAGAAGATGACATAGTGATACAAGTCTGGGTCTCGAAATTTCTTAACCAGGTCCTGCTCAATGCTTGAAGATTTAAAATACTCAAAAGTTAATCTCATTGATAAGCAGTGTAGACTTTTTGGCATAGTTTGAACTGCAACTTTGTAGAGAAAGGCACTTTGTTTCATATGAAAATTAGATTCATCCTCCGTCAAGTCAACTAATTGTCTAAACTTCTTATCAACATTATTACAGTCCACAGGGCATGATTTTGCCTTTCTTATTACAGCTTCCATCATCATCATCTTCTGCTCATACCTGATAGAATGGGAGAGCATTCTTTAGAATTCTGGATTCACAATACATTCTTTATACAGATAATAATTGAACTTCAATGCATCATCTACTATGAGCACATTTTCTTTTTCTAGAAATATGTATAGAAAAGAAGAAAAGGTGGAAGCTTTGTAAACTGGGAAAACAATGAAAAGAAGAATAATTTCAACAGAATGTAAAAATGTGTTCAAATGTTGGTACTTGTAAAGCCTCCTTGGGAAGAGCCATCAATTCTTTGGATTGCAAACTTGGACTTGGACTGCGACCTATTTACACTTTTCAACATTTCACTATGGATTACTCCCAGGAGGCCTCAACATTAGACTCATATCGATGATTATGAATATATATGTGATGCCCAAGCTCAATAGCAGTGTGCATATAAAAGACTAGTAGAGCATGTTCCACCGTTGATGAAGATATCAACCTGAAGTGTGAGATTACCTTTTACAGACAATGTAATGCACACAATGACATACTTCTGGCCAGGTGAAATTTTCCTAAATGGGCACATTTTTCCACCGTTGCAAAGTGGGTGGGGGATGGGGAGCATTTTCAGTACCTTGTACCAAGCTGGACATGACTGATATATATATATATATGTGTGTGTGTGTGTGTGTGAGCTTGAGGGGGAGCGTAATTACCTTTCCATGCATGTACCTTGTATGTAACCCTATTTCTACTTCCCAAAGGGGGAGCTTCTCTCTTTTCCTTACTAAAGAAAAACATACAGTTTTCCTTCATCACATATTTTTCTACAAAACATATTTGTGAACACAACTAGCTCATTCATAAAGATGTGTATAGTTATTTTGTTTTGTTTTAAAATCAATCTATAAAACATTAGACTCAAACTTGAATTCTAAGTCAAACTTGCCCACTTGTAAATCGTTATTCTATATTCAACAAAATTTCTATGTGCTCTCAAACTTGACCATTAAGGATCCAATGGCTCTGCTTGTGCCAAAGTTTATATGATCCATTTAGAAAGTTATTAGACTATGACTTACAATGACAAGCTAAACATAATAAATGTTTTGATTTTGAGAAAGAAAAATGACTTTTCAATAGTTAATATAAAAAGGAATATTGGAAGTAATTGAGACATTGGTCCATCTTTTGTTCTACACAACACAGAAAGCTCCAGATTTCAAACACATGGAAGACATAAAACATGAAATGCAACCAAGAAAACAAAAAGATCTAGACTCGGTTCTTATACTTTCAAAATTGGTTTTGCACTATTCATGAATTTTTTTTCTTAAAAACATCATATCCAAAACATAATTTTCATTTAAAATATTATATCAAAAACCTATTCTCAAATCAAAACATCACATGCAACAACTATTTATATCACACCAAACACCTATTTTCTATTCAACCTTTTACTATTCTCAAACCAACCTAAAACTTTGAAACATTTTCAAACATAGACACAGCCTTACTTAAGTTTGTAACCCAGTTTATGCACTCTTGTGCAGATAATGGGCTGGGAAAGGCTAGCCATCATTAACATAAACTGACAGTTGAAGAATTATTGCCAACCAAGTTGATACCAGAAAAATAATGCACTAACGAAAAGAGAGACCAAAGCAAAAGCTTAAATTGCAGGTGGCAGTGAACATACCCAGGGGGGCGATCTTTATCTGTGGTAGCTTCGCTAAGGACACGTTCAAAATCCTGAATATTTTGTTTTAGTTGATGAGACAATTTATCAAAGTTTGAAAGTTTTGCAATGCTTGGATAGTAGGCACGAGCAACATAAAGCAGATCTTTCATTCTCTTCACCACAGAGTCTTCCATCTCTCCTCTCTGTTGTTGACGCCACAAGCAATAACTCCCAAATTTTAATTCACAAATCATTTCACTCTCATCTGCCCCTATTTTATTCTCTTCTGGTTTTGCTTTAACAAGAGACCTGCTATTCTGCAACAATTTAAAAATTACAGTGTTCCAACTCAGTATCAAATAAGCATAATTTATCTATCTTTGTTGTGCTTGTACATATGTATACCTTTTTAACTTCTTCTTTTGGCAAATTCTCTGGCATGGAATTTCCTGCATGTAGTTATAAAAAAGCAAAATGACGAAACATACAAATTACTAGGAGATTTAACTGTTGGTGTAAATTTGTTATCAAATACCCTACCATTTGCATCATTATGAACTTCATCAATGGAGACATTTCCCAAATTCTGCCAAATGATGATATTAATTTTCCATGTTAGGAGATTATCTTGCTGGAAAACAATTCGCAGAATCCATTTAAAATAAACAAAAACACAATTGTGTGTTGATCCCAAAAGGCTGTCACAAAGCATTTTATTAATCTGGCACATTCTTAACTCCATATATTTCAAGGTGTATAACTAGAATTGACAAATGAAAAAAACCAGAAAAAGTACAAAGGAACTCTCCATCAATGTAGACATTTCCCAAATTCTGCCAAATGACGACATTAATTATGCATGTTGAGAGGTTATGTTGCTGGCAAACAATTCAAAAAATCCAATTAATTAAACAAAAACACAATCACTTGTTCATCCCAAAAGGTTGTCACAAAGCATTTCATTAGTCTGGCACATTCTTAACCCCACCATATATTTCAAGCTTAACATGAGTAACAATTATCCTAAAAGAACTCATAACACAAGTGGATATACTCTACTAAAAACAACTAATAATTATCCTTTGAGGATCTAAAGCCCTGATTGGCAGTATCAATTATCACTTGAATTTATGATTAAGTACTTAATTTCATTAAATCTATTTGATAACTAAAAAATAGTTGAAATTATACATCAAGTGTGTCTATTGTGCACACAGTCCAAGTATACTGCCATCAAGTATTTGAATTGAGAAAAAAATTCTAGCTATCATGCACGCTCCTAAAGCATTTCTACTGAGCCATCTTGGCCCTCTTCCCATAATTGTGGTTGAATGTGACTCTTCAAATGCTTTGGCCCTTCCCCTCCTTTGAGATTAAACTTCAACACTAACAAGCTCCACCTGGCTATTGGAAAATTCCCATTCATCGCTTCTCAATATATCCCCATAGTGCCAACAAGGCAGGAAACTATTTTGCAAAGCAATGTGCTAGGGGTGATGAAGAGTTATTTGTTTCGCTGTAATTAATTTCCTCTTCTCGCTACGGCCATTAGGCTTTCTCCATCTCTTTCCTATATAAAATTATCTCTCTTCTAAAAAAAGTGTCTAAATACAGTCATAGACTATGTTAAATAAAGTCCACCATTAGCTACTAGAAAAATATAAACTTAAGCATTCAATATTTAGATTTAACAAAACCACCAAAATCAATTTCCAAGCATTTCATGAACTTATACATGCATAAAAACATCATACATGAATCAACTTCATGCGAATCAACCGTCTGTTGATGCAGAAAGGTGTTCTTTTAGGGTGTGTTTGTTTGAAGGTTTGGATTTTGAGTTGAGATTTGAATAGTAAAAATTTTGAATTGAAATAGTTGTATAATGTGATATAAACAGGTGTTGATGTGATGTATTGAATGTAAACTTGATTTTTAGAATAATATAGAAAATGAAAAATAGATGTTTGATGTGATATTTTTGGACGGAAAATTTTGGATGAATAGTGGATTTTTGGCAAAATCCCTCAAACAAACACACCCTTAATTCTTTGCAGAAAACTGCCATGATGAAATGTCATTTTTAGCCCAATTTACCACATCACAACCCACTTCTTGCAAAAGGGTTGTGTTTAATCTAATGGTTGCATATGGTTTTGACCTCACTAGCTAAAAATCCAATGCTTTGTATGAATAAAATAAAATAATTTGAAAAGATGCAAAGTAATAAAATATCCAGCATTCAAGCACGATAAAATCTAACAAACTCCACCAGAGATCACATTAAATCCCCAGTTTCACTACCATCAATCCAAATCAATATTGTATTTAAAAAATTAAAAAAAAAAAAAAGGAAGGGTCTGGCGGATGTGTAACACTCCTCACAACCCTTCAACCAAAGAATTAGCTTGCGCAACTTCCAACCTCTCAGTAATGATCCCACAGCCTCTCTTTCGTGTAACTTCCCATACCAATAAGTGCACCCACAACCCCTCATAACTTCAACACTATAAGGAAATTGAATCAATAAAAAGTAGAGAAGCAAACAAGAAGATACCTAATCATTAAGAATCATATAGATGAAGTAGTAATCAAGGTACATAGATGAATCTCCCTATCTTGTCGATTATTGCTAGTCAATGCTTATGTTATGTATCAAATAACAAGACCGCTGATTATTGAAGACGAAACAGTTAATTATATGCAGATAAACGACTATTCTTGCACAACAGATTTGCAGTGTGAAGAATCAATAAGAAGATTCATTTCATACTTTCTTTTTCTTCAACAAACTGCGTGATTGAAATATGTCGCAACCACCTTCCCTATTTTTGCAAAATATTAAAAATTTCCAAACACATAAGGTATGAAATATATCAATCAGGCATAGGTAGCAAATAAGTATTGACCCATCACATAATTGTGGTTTTTACATCACATGGTCTGGCAAGGAAAAGTCATAGACAACATAAATCAGCATAAGAAATGGAAATTTCAGTTCCACATACTCCTATTCCTCCCAAGACATCAGACTCTAGTTTCCTAACAAAAGTCTCAAAGGTCTCAGATGTCAGTATCATAAATTTTATATTTTATAACTATAAGTAGAGTATCTTTCCCATTATACTCCACTTTTATAAGAACAGTGAATGTGTGTTGAGCACTTGGTTTCTTCTTCCTTTAACACATCAAGTTACCTTCAATTGGCATAATATTGGATAATTGGAATAAGCACTAAATGACATTTGCAAAACAAATGAGACCACATCTCAGATAAGTCTGTTTCTACTGTCAGTATATGAAGTTTGCATAGATTGCACCATAATAAGATATATATATATATATATATATAGAAAATATTGTGAACAAAACGTCTTGATGATTACTTGGCAATATCTTTGTAAATTCAACTTGGTGCTTAAATATATATATATATATATATATATAAGCTTGAACTAAAAGCACTGTGGGATTATTAAAAAATATTAAAAAAATAAAAAAATAAACAAAGATAATGAACCTCTGGCAGTGTGGGAGCAAATCTTCTAATAAGATCTTCCGTAAGTGTTGATTGATTAACCTAGAAACAAAAACCATAAAACATAACACTGATCTCAAGATTAATCAGAATAGAAGGATGTGCTTATAGAAAAACAACAGTATAAATATGTGCACGTCATAACTACTTGCACATATGTGTATCTACTATCATGTTCAGTTGCAGATGGGTAACAATGCTCTATACCTTGGAATCCTTTCTACTATGAGCAGCATTTCGTTGATCGTAGACTGGAAAATGATTCTGTGTGCATCAAGCATCGACCAGAAAAATTAAGGAAAGAACAAAAGAATCAACCTACATTAATTTCTGAAATTGAAGGAAAACAAAAAAGCCTCCAAAATCCTTGTATAAGGCTGAAAATTTCTTACGGAGGCTGAATTCCGCTGTTCACTGACATATCCTGAAACGGTTGTAATAAATTAGATAAAGCAGTTCCACACCCACATGACAGGAAAAAAAAGACACAGGTAAAAGCGCATCTGCTGATGAGGACTAACGACACACATGAAAATGTCCATTCGGCCACACATGATAACAAGAGTGTAGGTTCAACATACAGATCTTGGGGATAACAAAACCTAAGAGGATCGACTGGGGGTACCAATAATGACGGATCGAAAACCCGACTACGAACTAGAGCAATGGCTCTTGGGGCGAAACAGATCTAAAATGGACATAGATAATGTATATTGGCCTTGGGGGAAGAGGTTACCGGTGCTCGAGTGGAAACCATTGTGGAGGCCGAGCAAGAAGACGAGGGGCACTAGCATGGAGAGAAACACCAGGCCCAGCACCGCTATCACGAAACATTTCCATCTTCTCTTAGCCGGAAGGGAGTATGACGATGAAACGCCCACGCCCCCACCTTTCATCTCCACGCTCGCTCGCTCGCAAATTTCCACAATTTCCGTCGTCCAGTATCCTTAGATTTTTACACGCATTCTGAATGACCACTGCTCCGACAGCAATCCATTTAACGCAATGTAATTTATTTTGAATTTTGGGTAGCCCTTGCCCCTTGGTGGGTAGTGATTTCGTTCTCACACAAGTCGAGTCGCTCGAGTTTCAATTCGGCCAAAACCTTTTTCTTAATAAATTTCATATAATTTTTAGTGAATTTTATGTAATAGTATTTTCTAAACTAAGAAAAGATCTTATATAATTTTAAAATAAAAGGAAATATGAAAGTCAACTTTCCAAACCACAACTACAAATAATTTTACATTATAAAAATGAAGATGAAAACAACAAGAAGAATACTACTCCCTCCGTAGTCCCGCTATGAATCCTTTAACGTAAATTAATAAGATATTAATAATAAATTATAATATTAGTTTATTATTTTTTATATAAATAATATTATTAGTATTTTAAAAAATTTTAAGATTATATTGGAACAAATATATGCATATCATTTTATAAATGATAAAATTTTATATAATACAAATAAATACAAATATTTTTATTTATTTATCATTATTATAAATTAGTTTTATAAAAAATGAAGAGTTTTAAATATAGATAAAAAAGTATGTTAATCGAGAAAATAGATAGAAATAAAGGGGTTTTGAGTGGTCTATGTATAAGAAGTTTAAAATTAAGGGTGTGTTTGTTTGGGAGTTTGGATTTTGAGTTGAGATTTGCATAGTAAAAATTGTGAATTTGAATAATTGTATGATGTGATATAAATAGGTGTTGATGTGATGTTTTGAATGTAAAATTGATTTTTAGTATAATATAAAAAATAAAAATAGGTGTTTGATTTGATATTTTTGGGAAAAAAATTGAGATGAATAGTGGAAATCTAATTGAATCCCCCAAACAAACACTCCTTAATTTATATTTGTTAAGTATGTTTAAGATTCATAAAGTTACAAAAATATTGTGGGACGTATTAAAAAAGAAAAATGGTCATCAGTGGCCGGACGAATGAAGTAATAAATAATAATACTTGATTCAAAGTCTTTTAATAAAAGTATGTGAGATGAATTTGATTATTTTGCCTTATTATATATATGTTAAAGGTAAATTAATTTCTTAGTCAAGTAACTTAACAATTTTATTATTTTAGTTTATAAACGAAGTATGTGGCAAATTAGTTCCTAAGTGATTTTTTTTTTTTTTCACTTTTAGTCGTCGGATGCCGGAGATGCCTACGTAGCACCTGCGTGGCTCGTCTGATGACATGTGTCCGCTAGATCATCGACACTTGGTGGACACATAGATTTTTTTTTTTTTTAAAAAAATTATTTATTAAATTTGTCTTGTTTGTAAAAATTAAAAATTTTAAAAAATGTATTTAAAAATTTAAACTTTTAAAAAATAATAAATAAATAAATAAAAATTTGCGTGTCCGTCCGGTGTTGCTGATCTGACCGGTGTTGCTGATCTGACAGACATGTGTTCTTCAGTGAGCAACGCGGGTGCCACTTAGGCATCTCCGACGCCGAATAACTAAAAGTGAAATTTTTTTTTTCATTTATATAACAAGTTTACAACATATTTAAGTTATGAGACTAAAATAATATTTATAATGTTATTATATTATTATTTTTTTATTATAATAAAAAGTATTCCCTCCGTTTCAGATGTATGTATTAGTCTAAAATAATTGTCGTATAATAAATAATCATAAACTAAAATAACTTATAGTCTAATTAAAATTTTTAAAAAAATTATAAATTATGAAAATGTAAATATAGTAAATGAGACATGAAGAATGATAGTTTTGAATAAAATGACTAAAATGATAAAAATAATATAATATAGTTTTTTAAAACTAATATATTTTTAATATTTTTGTAAAATATTTAAATACTTTTTATATACTCCCAGTCCACTAATAATTTTTTTAATTTAAATATATTAATATTTTATTGAAATGAAATACAAATAATGTATATAAAAATAATTTTATTTTCACTTCTATGATAATAAAATAGAAGTATTTTTATATTTGCATGAAACGTAAATTTACTTGCAGTATCAATTTATAAAAGTTATATAAATGAATAAAAAAATATTTACTCAACACATAGATTCTATGAAATTCATATATAACTTAATATATAATTCAATCAAATCTATCAGAATCTATTTAAATCAATTATCAAAATCAAACCGTGTATGAATTTTATAGTTAAAAGTTTCTATAAAATTCTAATTCAAACTCCAACCCTTAACCCAACATATCCTGCCTAAACCACGTTCCTAGAAAAGCCAATGCGTCCACCATAAAAAAACACAAAACAAGTCAATGCATTACCATCGCAAGGAACAGGTGGTTATTTCAACTTAAATGCACGTTTAGCTGATTCAAAAGTGTTGTAGAGCAGCATGGCAACAGTCATAGGTCCAACTCCTCCAGGTACGGGAGTTATTGCAGAAGCTATTCCTGCAGCTTCCTCAAAACAAACATCCCCAACGAGGTGATAGCCATGTTCGCTGCTCCCATCCTGCCAATTCAACTGTCTTAAATGATCTCAATTTCTAACAATTGCTTACTCCACAGGTAGGAGTGGATGAAGAGAAACCGGGGCATGTTAATCTAATAACAGAACTAAGTATTTGCTTTATTTTGTGTGTTATCTGTCTGATGGAACATATACAAAAATAAACATGGAGTCCGAGACAAAAAATAAAAAAATATAATAAAAAAAAAGACAAAGTTATACAGAGTGTATTTACTGTGAAGTAAAAAATAATCAATGTGTATAAATAAATACACACAAATATTAAATAATATTTCACAGTTAAGAATTTCATTTTGCATCGAAACCAAAGTAACAAGATAAAAACATAGGTTGCAATAGACTATAGACTATAGTATTATTCCCTCAAATTGCATACAGTGTGATTTCATTGTTCTATATTAAAAACAGTACCATTACACCATCACAGATTTTTATGCGTGCATATCATATACTACATTTTAGCCCAATGTCTTTTATACTTATTGTTAGATGTATTTTATGTAGGTCAATTTTGTATTTAGTATAGTGTAGGAACCTTTTTGTTACTCCTTCCGTCCTAGATAATTGTTTTGTATTAATAAAAATAATTATTGCATAATAAAAATAATTATAAATTAAAATTAAAATAACTAAATAATTTAATTAATAAAAATGATAAATTATGAAATATCAAATGTGATTAAAGTATATAATTATATTTCCAAAAAAGGAATGAATAAATTACATAAGACAAACCGAAATAGAAAATATGGATATTTTATGTAAGACAAAACATAGATTCGTAATTTTGGTGCCTATCATTATCTATCCGGTAATTCAAAATTATTTTCTAAATTTCACAAATATATTTCGGTATCTGATGTTACTTTAGCTGATGGTTCAAAATTGTTTGTTAAAGCAGTTGGTGATGCTCAACCATTGTCTTTTGTTCCCTTAACCTCTGTCTTATTTGTTCCTCGTTGTCAATTCAATTTTTTTTTTTCTGTTAGTCAATTAATCAAAACCTTTGTTTGATAACCTTTGATTTTGATTTTTTTTTATTTGGGACCGCAACACGAGGAGAACGATTGGCAAAGGACGTGAGTTTCATGGCCTATATCACCTTGACAGTCCATCACCTTTAATCTCAATTGCTTATTCCACTGTCAGTTCTTCTATATTTTTTTTTAAAAAAAAATATATATCAACATTTGGATCATCCAAGTCTCTCTGAGTTACATCTGCTTGTTCCAAGTCTTTCTAAATTATCTTCTTTGTCTTATGAGTTTTGTCAGTTAGGAAAACAAACTCGTGTTTCGTTTCCCCGGAAGGTTAATAGTTGGGCTGATATGCCATTCATTTTAGTCCACTGTGATATATGGGGTTTATGTCGAACTACTTTTGTGTTTGAGTTTTGTGGAAAAATATGTGAATCAATTTATTTTAAAAAACAAATATCTTGTTTCCTTTGTACATCTAGTGATCTCATGATAAAGAATGATCCCATGATTCATGGAATAAGATATAGTTTCTTTCTATTTCTATTAGAATTTTTTTGTATATAAGTCTTCCTATCCTTATGTAACAAGATACAATTTTTTTTATAGAATTAATCTTCTTCTTCATTTGATTTTTCTATTCAAAATCTGAGAAGTTTCGGTACTTTCTCACTTTTGTTAATGATTTTCAAGATGCACTTGGCTTTATCTTATAAAAACTCGATCCGAGCTACTTTATGTCTTTGAGACATTTTATGCCAAGATTCAAAATCAGGTTTGGTGTGCCTAGTAAAATACTTTGGACAAATAATGCCACTGAATATTTTTCTAGTCCTATGAGTAAGTTTGTGTCATCTCGGGGTATTTTACATCAAGCTATACTATAGAAGGAATTGCTTTCCCTTGCTCCCCAAATGATTTAACTAAGTACCATCCCGTTAAGGGACAAGTTTGATGGGGATATTTTCCATTAACTCCCTAGCGACACTCCATTTCAATCTCGAATCTACAAATCACGATGGTGTTTCCTTGTTCTTGAATGGGCTTATTTCTCTCATATCCTATTTTTACACCAAACACCAAGAGATGAGGTTTTTCTCTCGTGACATTAAAACTGCTCGTACTCTATTTGCGCATCATAGTATTCTTTTTCGGTTTTGAACTGATATTTTTATTACTTGCTATCTTATAAATCGCATGTTGTCTTCCATCCTACACAATAAAATTCTTCATCAGATATTATCAATTGAATCATTTACCTTTCCGTGTCTTTGGGTGTATTGCATTTGTTCATGATCACTCTTTGGGTCGGAATAAATTAGCTCCTCGTGCATTAAAGTGTGTTTTTATTGGTTATTCTGGGGTTCGAAAAGCTTATAAATACTGTTCTCCTAATACTCGTTAGTATTAATTTTTTGCCCATGTTTCCTTCTTCGAGTCGATGCCTTATTTCTCTCCTTAGTCTACAATTGGGATCATACGATTTGTATTCCCTAGTTTGAGAGGAGTGTCAGATGTATTGTATGTAAGTTTTGTATTTAGAATAGCGCAGGGATCTTGTTATTTTAGATAGTTATATATATTTTAGGGCTTTACTCGTGTAATAATTAATTTTTCTATAGAACAAAATATATCGCCCTGTCTACACTTATATAAAATTATGGGTCCATTCTAAATCTGCTAGATGGAGTCAAGAGCAGCAAGGGAAATATATCAAGTACTTTACAATACAATACAATGTTATACTGGGAAGCAGCTATTGAATATTCCTAGCATGGCATCTAAGGTTCAATTCAGAGAAAATTTTCCTTAAATAACCTTCGACTTAAGCAATGAGATATTGTTCTACAATTACTCAAAAAGCACAACATTATGAAAGTAGAGAACAAAATGATGTATTCCACACTAAGAAACTGGAAATCACCTCAACAGGATTGGTTCCAACATCAACGACAACCGCGCCTGGCTTTAACCAACTACCACGGACCAAATTGGGTACTCCAGCAGCTGCAATTAAGATGTCAGCTTCACGGCAAATATGCTCTGGGTTTCTGGTAAATGGATGAAGAATAGTCACTGTAGCATGGTGCCTCTGCCCCATAAATGAATAAAACACTGATGTTAAGTAAATTAGAAAAAATATGTGATTATATAATTAACTGCACAATTAGACTACATGAATATAATATCTTTAGTCTTTACACACAAATATAAAGTTGCTGGACTAAGCTCAACTACAATTATATATATATACATATATATATGTATAGCAATACCTGGAGAAGTAAGGCTGCAGGTAATCCAACAATGTTACTCTTACCAATCACCACAGCATTTTTCCCCATAATATCAATACCAGACTGCAGAAGTAACTCAATGCAACCTTTAGGAGTACATGATATAAACAATGGCTCTACTCCTTGCATGGTTAGATTCCCAATGTTAAGAGGATGGAAACCATCAACATCTTTCTCCAAGCTTATGTTATTCAATATTTTGGCTTCATCCAGATTCTGTTCAAGTCCAGTAAGCGAGCCATCACACAATCTATTGGCTTTATAATTCTATTCCAAGTCTAGAATCCCCCACAAAGTAGCCATAGAATCTATGACAGGCATTTTGATTTGAAAATATAATTTTAAGCAAAACTTAAATGTATGATGATAGCTTACGTTCTTAGCTAGAACCAGCTAATGATCATCACAGCATCAAGATCAACTAAATCTGATTGAAACTGGGTAAACATAGAAATGTGACACCTATATCTCATGTAACTAAAAAATAATAGAATCCAGACTGACTAGATGTAGATTAAGTGTGCTTGTCAACACTTAATTAAGTCAGACTTAGTGGAGCGTATTGGTTTATAATTATACTGAACTGAGACCTCATTAGTAAAATTAATACACCACATAATAAACAGGTAATATATAATAGTTTTAAAAAGATCAGAATATATGATGATATTTAAGATCTTGGTCAGAACCAGCTGATGACCAGCATAGAATCCAAATAACTAGATCTAACTAACAGTAAGGAAATAAAAAGCAAAGCAAGTAAAAATTTTAGAAAGATAAAAGAAATGGGTGATTTTGCATCCATATATGCTGGAACTGGAAAAGAATCTTAGAGGCTTTCATGCAGCTGGAAAACATGTATGCTGGAAAGTTACCTGTGGCAAAGGTAGCTGCACAATAATACCATGAATTGATGGATCCCCATTAAATTGATGCAAAGCCTTACAAACTTCAGACTCAGAACAATCTTCTGCAAGGGTAATCATCTTAAACTTCATGCCAACCTCTTTACATGCAATCATTTTGTTCCGGACATATGTTTGTGAGTCTCTTCTCTGACCCACTATTATGACAGCCAAGCCAGGGACCTTTCGAACCAGTTTTTCCATCGACTTCACTTCAAGTGCTATTCCAGATGTTATCCTATTGGCAATTGCCTTCCCATCAATTATTTTCCCAGTCAAGTTTCTAGCTGTCATAAATCAGTTGCAATAAATTGTTTCCTAACTTTCTTGTGAAACAAGAATGAAATAAGATTGGACAGCAGGCAGTTGGACAAGATATTATGTACCATTCAACTAAACGGTTTGTCTTTTGCTTCAACTAATTTTTAAGACATCCATGGAAATCTGTGGTTATGGAATCCTCAAAAAATGTGCAACAAGAATGACATAAGATTGGACAGCAGGCACTTGGACTAGATATTATGGTTTGTCTTTTGCTTCAACTAATTTTTAAGACATCTCTTAGATAATGAAAAACTGTGGCTACAGAATTCTGGAAAAAAAAAAACCCAATTAGAACAAAAGTGATTAGGTCTTTATTGCCTCCCCTTCTTCTATGACTATATCTATCAATGCAAAATTTTTACCTTTGCCTTTTTCAAGCATTGAAGAGCACAATCCTGAAAACTAAATTATAATTCGATAGGTTCTGCAATGGAAGTACAATAATGCTGTTCAAATACTTTATCTAAAGCTTGGAATTGTACACTTCAGCTCTAAAGCATGGACCAGCTGTTCAAAGGATTTGCAAACATGACAAGAAGTTGAAATTTAATCCTTTTAAACACAAACAACTTTAAATTATCACACATACATGCTAAATATCAACTTCCCATCCCTATTCATCTGAGTACTTCTATCACGAGGCCACATCTGAGGTGTGTTAAGTAAAACCACATCACTGTTAGAAGAAAACAAACATGTACAGCACAGAAGGGAAGTGAAAAAGGACATCTCAAGAGTCCTACAGAGGAGGTGGAACAAGGGTACCTGTACACAAACATGGAGAAGAACTCACAACATTCACAGATGGCAAGCAATCATATTGAGTGGATACAGAAGACCAGGAATCTGCAAGGTCTAGTGACAAAAGGGATGGGGACTTGATAATATGATTACTAAAAGCCCGTGGTGTTGATGGTCTTAAAACCCCCTTCCTTAACCAAGGCAAAGTAGATGGTAAAATTGGCCTCATTCTCCCTCCCACTGGCATACAATATCTTTTAACTGTTACAATACAGCTCCCAGCTCTGCATAATGATTAGCTCAGTCAGGTTGCTGGCTTGATTTAACGGGAGGAAAACAGAGTGAACTTAAGGAACCACGCGCCTTACTGCAATAACCAAAAAAACATATAAGTTTCACAGGTCAAGAAACAGTTTTTTTTTTTGGTAGGGGGGGTGTATTTTGTAACCAAATATCACTTCAATGATGGCGAATTGGCAGTATGTAATAACAACAAACGTTAGTTGTAAATTAATCCTCCAGATGCATTCCAGTAAATATTAGTATATTTCGAGATTACACTTGTCTTTCCCATAAATTATTTGTTAATAATACTTATATGATTTGATTGATAAAAGTCACGCACATGACAGATTGTGATCCCGTTCTTGTTAACAAATTGCAGAATCAACAGAGGTGGAATTGCGTGGAGTCTATGAAATCATTAGAAAGCCATACGGTAGTTGTAAGGAACTAGCGATTAAGCAAAAAATGAGGGTCTCATCACAGTGCCTGCTAATACAAATATCTTAAGAAACTCTTACGTTTACATCTGCACTACTAACGACCAATCCACCGAACTCAACTAACTTACCTATCCTACGCCCTTAAAAAATGGCACATTTCTACATTAAGGGCAGTTTTAGTTATATACAAAACGAGTTCTAATATTACGATGAAATAAATTAAGCTCACTCTGCAGAACTTTAAGAAAAACTCAAATTACGGAGATTAATGCTGTGGAAATTTAACGATACGTTCACATTTCAAGTATCGACCTCCAGTACGGACATAGTTACCATAGAAGAAAAGGCGAGATGCATAGCATCTTTTAAACCCTATTTTATCTAAAGCAGAATCGAAGTGCATATCGTATCAAACCACAGATCAGCCACAATGGAAATGCAACAAAAATAGATAAACCTCAGCGGCGGAAACACTCGAATGCCTATCCATTACGCCAACTGTCTAAACTCTCAAGGGGAAAGATTCAAGCTGAGTCCTGGTGTGCGGGGATGGCTACTGTTGAAATGAGTACGAGGTTAGGCCATCTCCGGGTTAATTAAAAAGTGTTAAAAAGAGGATCGATGATTATAAATTTTATTTTTAATAAAAAAGAATAAAATAGTATAATTTATATTACACAATTTATTTAATTTATACTCCCGCTGAAAAAAAAAAAAGTGCTCAAATTTTTTGGGCATAAGTTTTAATATGATGTATATTTGTTGTCTTTTATGGTAAATAAAGCAAAATATAGGCAATTTTTTATTAAATAGAACATTTTTTTGCAAATTCATAGTTTCACAAGATTGCCCCAAATATGATATATTTTTAAAATACTTTTTGAACGCGTAAAAAAAAATTCTCAATTTCTAAACACTTGTATTATAAATATACTTATCTGTCTTATAATATGATTTTAAAGAACAATAAATATACTAAAAAATAGTTACTTTCTTTTGTTTGTTCTTTTAAAGAAGAGTTTAGAAATAGAAATCTTAAATAAGGACGGTTAAATGTATTAGATGCAGAATCTATGAAATTACAAAATATTGTAAAATTACAAATAAATTTTGTATAATTTTACCAATATTTTTAGATGACAAACAAACCAAAAAAAAAAAATACAAACTTCGATTCAAATACTCAATCAATTACAAAAAATATATTTATTTGTGAAATTTTGATTTTGAACTTTTATCTTAAATAGTAAAATTTTGAATTAAAATTTGATGCGGTATAAATATATATTGATGCCATATTTTAAATATAAAACTAAATTTTAATATAATATAATAAATAAAAAATAGATGTTTGATTTGATATTTTAAAAAAAAAATTTAAAATAATAAAATCAAAAACCAAAACCATACAAGTAAACACACCAAAAAATAATTATATATCCGATCATACAATTTCAAAGCCATGCTCATTGACCTATTTACCATTTTTTTCAAACAAGTTAGCTAAATCAATAAAAAGAATCTGATCACAATAAAAGAATAAATAAAACAAATCATAGACATGAATCATCAAATTTGTCACACAAAATTTTGAATAAATTTTAAGGGTGTGTTTGTTTAAGGGATTTAATTAGATTTCTACTATTCATCCAATTTTTTTTCCCCAAAAACATCAAATCAAACACCTATTTTTTATTTTTTATATTATACTAAAAATCAATTTTACATTCAAAATATCACATCAACGCCTATTTATATCACATCATACAACTATTCAAATTCAAAATTTTTACTATTCAAATCTCAACTCAAAATCCAAACCCCCCAAACAAACACACCCTAAGTAAATCCCATATGATATATTTTGTGGAAAAAAAATTAAAAGCATAATACCAACCAAGGTTGGAACGATAACCAGGGCCTTATCTCAAACTATGGCGACAATTTTGACCCCCACACCTACCAAACATAACTATAAAACTGTAATCCCCCACCCCAAGTTAACTGGTAAGCAATCTCATCAGGAACGAGGAAATGGAGATTAAAATGCTGCGGGTAACAATCTCATCAAGAAAAATCTTACATGTAGTTCTCAATTTCCCCTACAAACAATAGTCCCAAAAAATAACATGGAGAAGTTTAGGTACAGTGCACACAACTGACATGACAAAAAGGCAAATCATGGTTTCCAGATTTTAACTTAGTAGTACGATGGGATCTTCAGGTTAACTGGGAAAACATGAAATGATACACCAAAGTGCACCAACTTAAACAAAAGCAAGTACATGCACCGAGTAAAATCTTTGTAATCTATCAATCAATCATTTGCAAGTGCCGACTCCGCAACAGGAGGAATGCAATCCACCTTGTATCGCAAGACCTGACAACAAAATCAATATTAAGGATTATATAGTTTTAAATTTACACAAGCACATACATTTGGGTGCATATAGAGAAGACTCATATTTGAAGCATAAGGGATAAATGGAAGCCAACAAATGAGGTCTCCCAAAGGAAACCAATTGTTGATGGCCAAGGCCAGCACACTTTACATTCAAAACTATTATTAACATCAAAGTAACAGGCTAAGGAAAACCTCAAACAAATGTAAATTAAGCACTTGTATACCAAAAACGTAGTAAAAAGTAGGTAGGAAGGTGGCAGTAGTAAATAATTAATATTGATCACCAAAAGAACATGAAACCGTCTTCTGTTCTGTACTTGGATCAACTATAAATAATTGACATCAAAATACTTCAGATATAACAACCAACGGTGTGTTTAGTTGGGGGTTTGGATTTTGAGTTTTGAATGAATAATAATAATTTTGAATTAGAATAATTGTTTAATGTGATATAAATAGGTGGTGTTGTGATATTTTGAATATAAAACTGATGTTTAGTATAATATAAAAATAAAATAAAGTAGATGTTTGATTTGATGTTCTAGAAGAAAGGAGATTTTGATGAATATTGGAAATCCACCAAAATTATTAAAGGTGTGTTTGTTTGAAGGATTTTGGTGGATTTCCACTATTCATCCAATTTTTTCCCCCCAAAAACATCAAATCAAACACCTATTTTTCATTTTTTATATTATACTAAAAATCAATTTTACATTCAAAACATCGTATCAAACCCTATTTATATCACATCATACAACTATTCAAATTCAAAATTTTTACTATTCAAATCCCAACTCAAAATCCAAACCTCCAAACAAACACACCCAAGAGAACTGATTTATGGTTGAGAACTTTAGATGTCCAGGTCTGTAATTTAGCCACCCAATCAGGAGGCTGCAATTCAATGCTGCCTCTCATTTTTAGTTCTTAGAATACTTTATCCCAATATAAAGCAATGAAGAAAAAGATTTTCCAGAAAAGATCAGGACTGCAATATGGTGCAAAACAGTAAGAAGCCAAGTTGTCAATCAGAAGTGCTTAATAAAGAAGCCAACAACATCCTCCTCCCTCCAGTCAAACAAAAATGGCAGAGAATAGTCCCGTAAGGGATGACTTGGGGGTGTGGGGAGTGAACTTGTGACTGTGAGATCATGAGTTCAAATCCCGACGCCTCCAAGTCCACCTGCCACACATGGTTCGCTTAGTGTGACTTGCCTCATCGGACCTAGTTTGCAAGGTATTAAGTTCGGCCAGGGATTTACCCAGTGCGCACTTTCGGATAGTGACTGCGGGTTCCCACATTATAAAAAAAAATAAAAAATGGCGGAGAATATAAAAATATAAAACACATTAATCCTGGGTTGAAGGTATACTTAAATTGCACATGCATATATCATTTATACAGCTAATCCTATTCTCAGTTGATAGTGTATTTTGTATAATCCTAAAGCCATTACTAGAAGCATAATGAAACTCTTGATTAAATTACCTGACTCGAAGAACTGGATATGTGGGAAAAAAAGCAGTACATTACATGAACAACAAACAATGAGATATATTTGGGAACCTATATCACTTGTGTTTGCCTACCTTTCTGAAAAATGTTGAATATGAATTGTCCCAGATGAGCTTGTAGTTCCCCGATACACATGTGCAGAAATTACCCTGGAATTAAGTTAGAGATTCAGATTTCATGCACCAGAAAAATAGAAAGTGAAAAGCAATACTCACTTGGTCAGCCTCATATCTGCGGTAAGGCAAGATCAACTGAAGTTGAGCAACACAAATGGTTAGCAAGAACACAACAGCCAGGATCAATGGAAATTAGAAGTGAGAAAAGTAAGTGATAAGACAGACAGAGAGGCAAGCTAGTTGAATAAAATAAAAACATGCGAAGATACTTCAACAACTTCAAGAGCTTACTGTTTTTCTCCCAGAAAGATCTGTGCACTCTACGCTGAAACCAATGTCCTGCAAGCCCATTATTCAGTTAAAATGAACAACATCAAGCACAACAAAATGAGTTCTGGCATTGTGTGTGAAAACTCATTGAGTGTATTAATGTCATGCCACACATTGTCATGCATCAATCAAGAAGGCACGCAGTATATCCCATGCATTACTGACTTATGGATAGGATCTTTTCGGAAGAACACTACGACATCGTAAAGTTGCCATGCAGTAATGGAAGATCATATACACAATTAATAAGGTATCTGTCAAAATACATGGCTAGATTTATGTGATGTCATTAATGTAGATTTACAAATAATTAATTAGAAATATATTGTATTTAAATCCCTTAAATCAAGGGATTAGGAGGATAGGCTGACTTATTGCCTAGGATTTTGGGAGTAGATTAGATTGTTTCGCTTGTATTTCTATATATGTATCTTGCAGAACAAGTAATATTAATCAATTTTCCGATTCCTTTCTTCACATGGTATCAAAGCTTGGTTAAAAGAGAACCTTTGGATGCCTTCAAGATAGTGTCCTAGTTGTGCCTTCATCGCTTCTGCAACTTCAAATGTTGATCTTTTATCATGGCAACATCATAGACAATTGTCAACCCAAAACCTAATCAATCCAAAGAAGCATATTCAATCCAGAATTTGGCGATTTGCAGAATCTTGGTGCCTCCTACAAATTCAATGGGGAAGAATTACCTGATGGGCTCAATTTGTTCCCTAAAAGGTAAACAAAAACTCAATCATATCTTAGGTATTGGTCCAACAAAGACTGATGCTGCATTTGGAGCATAGGATGATGAAGACTCAATGATAATGTCGTGGTTGTAGGACTCAATGGATCCTGAAATAAGTGATACATGTATGTTCCTATCCACTGTTATAGACATTTTGGACTTCATTCAACACACCTATTCGAAGGTTAATGATGCTGCACAAGTATATAATATCAAGATCAAAGCAGCAATTACAAAGCAAGGTGAAAAATCTGTTACTGAATATGCAAATACTTTACAAACTTTGTGGCTGGAATTGGACCACTATAGGTATTTGAAATGAAGTCCACAGAGGATGCTGAATTTCATTGAGATGGAGCAAGTATATGAATAATTTTTGGCTGGCCTGAGACCATTTCTCTTGTGTGCTCTGAATAGAGCAGGAGAAATGTGATGTTGGAGTCAACCCAAAGTACGAGTGGATCCACAATTCCTATCAAAACAGATTTTCAGAGAAAAGGAAAGGAGATGACATTAAAGCAAATCAAAGGACAATCTTTAGTGCACCTATTAGATTATAGACTCTGGAGCCTCAGATCATATGACTACTACGGCCCAATTTTTTTCCACAGATATACTCCCAGGTCAACTAACCGAAAAATTATCGTGGCGAATGGTTCTCCTGCAACTGTTGCTGCAATTGGTAATATCCATATAACTCCTACCATTCCCTCAAGGATATTCTTCATGTCCTTGAAATTTCAGCCAATCTTTTTTCTATCCAAAAAATCACTCACAGCCTTATAATTGTTCTGTTACCTTTTTTTCCAATCCCAGTGTTTTTCAAGAACAAGGCACAGGGAAGAGAATTGGACTTGCTAAGGAAAGAGGCAGCCTTTACTACCTTGAACCATCCCAAGGAAACAATTGTAACCTATCTTTCTCTCTATCATGCCTAAATTCTTCCAATAAAAATTCCATTTGGATGTGTGACTTTAGACTTGGTCATCCTTCTTTTAAAAGTTTTGAGAGTCATGTTTCCCCATATATTTCAAGGGTTGGATATTTCATAATTTCCTTGTGAAGTGAGCTTGCTAAACATACCCGAATATCTTTTTGTATTAGCAATAAAAGGTCTAACCTTTTGATCTAATCCACAGTGATGCTGGGGGACCTTCATTAGCCAAATATTATTGGAGTTAGATGGTTCATTTCTCTAATTGATGATTGCTTGAGTTACATGGTTATTTCTCTTTAAACAAAAATCTGATGTCAGTTCCATCATTCCCAATTTTTTCGATATGGTTCAACATCAGTTTGGGTGAAAATAAAAAGGTTTAGAACAGATAGTGCCAAGGACTATGTGACACCCTTGGAGTTGCGCCGGTGCTAAGCTAACTCCCATGTATGGATGAGCCGGTGCTAAGACATTCAAGATTGAATAGAGATTAAGTGGATTGAATAGAATATACATGTAAACAATGTGCAAATTTCTTTTCGTGAGTGAGGAAAAAGCGTGTTGGAGGACTCGTGTTGACCTGTGGAACAGTCTAATCCCGACACACCCGGCAAGCATGCCTTGCGGGCCGGGGTGTTACAGACTACTTCAACCAAACTTTATCCTCACTTTTTTCAGTCCTATTGAATTATTCATGATTAATCTGGTGTCAATTACTAACAGAATTAAGTAGCGTAAAGAAAGAATGGGCACTTAATACTACTCATGCACTACTCATGATAAACCGCTTACCCTCAAGTGTTTTCGATAACAAAAACCCTCGGAAATGTTGAATAGCTTTTATCCTCATTTCATAACTTCCAATAATTTGAAACCTAAAATCTTTGGGTGTACAACTTTTGTTCATATCCATAGCAATCAAAGGGAAGAGCTTGAACCACGAGCCACCAAGTGCATTTTCTTAGGTTACTCTTCCACCCAGACAGGGTACAAATGCTACCATCCTCCCTTAAGAAAATTTTATATTTCAGTTGATGTGACATTTTGCTGAAACTACTCCCTTCTTTCCTAAATCCCCACCTCAACAAGGACAGTTCAAGAACCCATAATCAATCTTGACATCCCTTCTAGTTATGAACCAAAAAAACTTGAACATTCGTACGGTACCTGACCTCACTTCTCTTCCCGCTACTACTTCCACTGATCCTACACAACAATTTCCTAGGTAACAATGGGTGTACTCAAGGAGGAAGGCTGTCCCCGAACTGGTTGAAGTCCAAGAATCTAACCCAAACCTTGTGAATGAAGCCCTGGTAAGCTCTTCTTTACCTGTCGAATCTACTACCCCTTATGATAATAATTTAGATCTTCCTATAGCTATAAGAAAAGGCACAAGAGTTTGCGCCAAGAAACCTCTATACCCATTATCAAATTATGTCTTTCTCAACCACTTGTCTCCCACTTGTAGGAAATCTAGAATGAGTAGTTTTAGAAGATAATATAGTTAAATTAGTGGAGGAAATCAAGTTCATTAATAGTTTTTGAAGGTCATAAATAGTCTTTGATAAAAGCATATTTGATGGAGTAATCTTAGGACAAAATTAAGGGATTTGGTAGAGTGATTTTAGGTTTTTTTCTTGTTTAGTTTATCAAGACTTTGTGTATATATTGGTTAGAATGTATTGTAGAAATGTGGATCGAAATATACATTACCTTGTGGCCTTTTCTACACTCGTGTTCTTTTTCAACATGATATGAGAGCCTGACTACAGTTTTTGGAAAATTGCCACTTGTTGCTTGTCAAGAACTTCGCTGATATTTATGGAAAAATTGGAAGACTAGTATACCCAACCCATAGTTATTCATCGACATTAAATCTTCATTCAGGTGCTATCTTATGCAAGCAATCAGTGTAAGAAATTAGTTAAAATGCTGTCAGTAATACTCCTCTTCTTTTACAATATGCTTTGGCACTGAGTTTATGAATCCTATAAGCTGACATTGTATTGCAAATGCATCAATGTTTCACAAACTAGAGCTAACATCAAGTAAAGAATATGCTCAATAAGCATAGAATAAAGACATAACATATCCAGCATATATTTTGGCAACATCACACAGAAATTGGTGGAAGTTCAGCAATGGATACCTGATTCAATTTGCCCTGCACCACTAAGAAATCCCAAGCAATGTATGAATTTAGCGATTCGACTGTTAAAGACACCTAAAAGAACATAAAGAAACACCATTCAAATAGTACAGAAATATGTAATAGGCACAACAATCCTAGACTACCTTCGATTATTTCATGCAGAGAAAAAAAGAAAAAAAACAGCTGAGGCAAGTCATACTATTTTATGATTGATGGCACAGTATGAGCCTTATTTGAAAAATGGAAGCACATTCCATATATATATATATAAAGCATTTATGCAAGTAATGTTTCTCAAATTAAAAATAGACCAACACAGTAGCATCTTAACCCCATGTGCTGTATATAATTCAGATCAAATTTAGATATATATGTATATATATATCACAATTTTCAACAACCATGGATAACACAACATATATTTACCGAAATTAATGGGAAAAACTATTCATATTTTCTGGGATGTTTCCTAGAATACAAAAATAGGGATACATAAGAAATAAAAAGGGGCATAATCTAATCTAATCCCAAAAATCTTGGCAATAAATCAGCCTATCCTAATCCCTTGATTTTAAGGGATTTAAACCCAACAGATTTCCATTTAGTTATTTGTAAATGTAAATTAATTATATTTCTACATAAATCCAGCCATATATGTGGACACCATTCCTCAAGCTGGGGAATAAATGTCTGTCATTCCCAGCTTGGACTGAAGCCACACAACCTTCGAGTTCTGAAGTCCCTTCATTAAGATGTCAACTGGTTGTAAATCAAAAGCGAATGCAACATATGCATTACCAATCCTGCCACCTGCTTTTCATTGATGATATATCTATATATTTCAATGTGTTTTGTCTTCTCATGCTATACTAGAGTATGAGCAATGTTGATACCAATATTTGTTATCCATGTTATGTTTCATAAGGTCTTCAAGTCGGCCTTAGTGATCCGACGGTGCCGAGTGGAAGGGAAGAGAATAAGTTGTGTCAAAATAGGTTGCGCTAGTAAGGCCGACAAAAACAAAGAGGGACTTCAACATTGTCTAAAGGTTCTAAAATTTGTGTTCTCTGCGCCTTCAAATCATCTAGAATTATTTTTAGCCAAAGGAGTTTACATATTCCTTGGGCAAGAACTCTGAATTCAGATTCTGCTAATGACCTTGCTATTATATTTTATTTCTTGTTTTTCCATGTCAGTAAGGTCCCTCCAATTAAAGTGCAGTACCCCGTAGTTGATTTTCTATCCACTAAAGATCCAGCATAATCTGTATTGGCATAAGCTTCTAGAGTAGAGCATTATGTCATCTGAACAAAAGTCCCTCTCCCGGAGTGCTCTTTGAGTAGTGTAGTACTCTGCATGCTTCCTGTGGATGAGATTCTCTAGGATCATGAGAGAGGAGACAGATTTACATCCTCATTTTCCAAATTATGGCAATAGATTAGTAACATAATTTTTTTGTGATATAGAGATTCCTTGGGATGAATTTGCAACTTCAATGCCAAGAAAATACTCCAATTTCCATACTCTTTTATTTTAAAACTCCTTTAGTAATCTGCATTTAAGCTCCATCTTTCTTTTCATCATTTGTATTGGCCATGATATCATCTACATATACTAGAAGAGTTGTTATCCCCCTGCCATGGCGACGCCATGGCGTCCTGGCACTTTCTTGGAAGAGCCAGGACTCATCGTCTCGCCTCATTAGACAAAGGGGTGTGGAAATGCAACGGCGACACTATGGTGACCCTTTAACGACACCATGGCGACGCCATAGCACTGTTCTGGCTAGCCCAGAACATTGTCAGTCTTCAGGTTAGCCCAGGCCCCCAAACCACACCTACCTTAGCCCCTAAACCTTTGAACTCGATCGAACCCTAATTAGTCATTCTTTCTCTGACCCTGCTCTCTTTGATCTCCTCCTCTCTCTTCCCTAATTTCTCTGGTCTGCAGAGGATGCCTCTTCATCTCACGACTTCATTCCGTTAGTGTTTTTATTCACTTCAAATATTTTTAAACTTCTAATCTAAGTTCGTGGCACCAACCCCGCTACCTCCACTTTAATAATGCTATTTTTTTTTTATCCTATTATAGTGTTAGTATATTATATTATTATCTATTATTTATGATCGATCTCGTGTCTGGTACTGCATGGTTCCACTCTGCAAGAACTCCGAATCATTCTATTATATAGTTATTTATTACTAGAAATTTGATAATTTAATAGTTATAAAATATCATATATATGTATATGTAAATTATTATGCACAACGCCGTGTTCGCATTTTGTCGCCATGGCGGTATGTAATACCCCACGAAATAATGGCTAGAAGTTCGCGGAACTTTCCGGAGTCCGAGTCGGAGTCAGAAAAATTTTATTTTGGGCTTTTGGTGTAAGAAATTAAACAATTTGGTTAAAAGTAAGGTAAAATATATAATAAAGGCCAAAGTCTTTTATGTTTAATAAAATATGAAAGGTAAACAGAAAGTCTTCTCCTCTTGGATTTTTCTTAAGGTAAGTGGGATTAATTTTAGATAGATGATGTGTTCTAATAGCATGTTGAGTATTGGGTCAAATTGGTAATTGAAACTACCCGTCGAGTCCGATCAACTCGTCCATTGTTTGGATGATAAGGCATAGCCTTCTACCTATGTGCCTTGAAAACACGTGTCGGTATACCGGTACTTTAGGATAACTAGCTAACCTTGAACTAGAATCCGAATGGGCTAGGCCGATGGATCGAGATGGTGGGTTCCCGTTTTGGGTCATTCCGAGGTGCCCGTCATTCACGATGAAAAAGTCTTTAGACCTTGGTATGTTATATTGGAGACTAGAGGGTTGTCGGCCGTTTGGAGCCCATCGCAAACTAATAAATAAATTGACTTACGTGTACTTTGGGCTTCAAACCCTTAGATACACATTGTGGAGCTTTTCTTGAGGGTTGTGACCCTATATTTGTTATGTGTAATTATGTGACGTGTCATACAAAGTAATAAGGTTGGAAAACCGGGTCGAGCTGACCCTAATTAAAGCCTAGTGGAGTTTTTTTCGTTATGCGTTCATCACCATCATTTGAGAATGAAAAAAGAGATAAGGAAACGCTAAAAGACTTGTGTGTGTGAGTTATCCTTATGTGATATGTGGTATTTTATTCAAATTATCCTTTTCAAATTATTTTATAGGTAATGGTGCTTCTACTATACCTAAATGATGCATTCATATCATATGATCCGTCGGGAAATTAGAGCTATTTTATCTTCTAGAATGCTTTTGAATTAGAACTTTTCCGACTTATGTTTTTTACTCGAACTTTACTTATTTAATTGATAAGCCGATGCGTTTTAATTTTAAATCCCTATTTAGTTGTTTGTATTCAATATTTTAGCCTTAGCGCCACAACATAAGGCTCGTTGGTTGATGAATGAGCCTTCCGATGGGGCGTGGCAATGACACTCCTGTTTGAGCTGGCCGAGGTGTTACATGGCGGTCCACCGGCGCCGCGCCGCAAATGGGCGCCGTGACAACCTTGATCCCCTTACATCTGAATGCTTAATAAAGAGTGTCATCTTATTGGCTTGTTTTCCCAATGCCTTGTTTTTGAAAAAACAAGGTGATTAGATAATAATAATAATAATAATAACCGAACAATTAAGGTCATGAGCGGCCTTTTGGATCAACATAAAATTGACTAAAACATTATGGCTCCGGAGTTTATAATCCAATTGCAATCATAACACAATGTTGAGGCATTTATATAGAAGAGAATGGAAGATTACTAAAAAAAGTAAGTGAACAAAAGAAGTAAGTAAGGGAGCTTAACAAATTCCCAATTTCCTCACGTTTAAATGCTTCATTGGATTTTCCTCAATCTTAGATTGTTCAGCCATATGAGCTGTAAGGGCTTTTTCCATCCATTCCATTCTCGCCTAGGGGGCTTTCCATGTAACTTTTAGCATTCCTTCATAGTATGCCTAGGTTTCTTGCAATGGGCGCACAAAAGAATGTCCTATTGAGTGCTTTATTGTCATCTCCTTCCATTTTCTCATGAAAATATCTTTTAATAGCAAATGCAAACTCATTGGTACTTTGGGTTGGCTCCAACCCCACTTTCTCCACTCTCTTCAGCCCGCACCAGAGAAATGGTCTTTACTAAAAAAGAGAGTATTAGCTTTTCCTAATTTTTGGATTCTAACTTGATCAAATTCAAATTTCAGGCCAGCCAAAATTCATACACCCGTTCCCTCTCAATGAAATTCTCTAGAACTGCATCATACTCTAGGCACTTCTTTTTAAGTACTCTACAGTGGTCCAATTCTTGCCCCAAAGTTTGTAGTATTTGCATATTAAATAAACAGTTTTTTCACCTTGCTTTAGTTGCTGCTTTGATCTTTATATCATATACTAGCAGCATTCTTTGTGCACTTACTTTCAAATATCCTATCGTGGTTCAATCCCTGCAATAAAGTTTGTAAAATATTTGCATATTCAATAACTGTTTTTTCACCTTGCTTTGACCTTTATATCATATAATTGTGCAGTATCATTAGCCTTCAAATAGGTGCTTTGAATGAAGTCCCAAATGTCTTCATCATTGACCTTGTTTACTTTTTGTTCCCCTCTTAGTAGAGCTATAAACGAGCCGAATTGAGTTAAGTCTTACAGGGTATTAAGTTGGGTTGGGGATTTACCCGGTGCTCACTTTCGGGTAGCGGCTGCGGATTCCCACGTCATGCACTAAGGCTCTAACATCGTTCGTACCAATAGTTTTTCCTCCCACTCATAATATTATAATAAGTTCAAACTTTCAAGTTTCAATAAGCATTCATGGCTATAAGCTATTTATATCATATTTATTCATATCAAACCCTACAATTTAAAGTCTTAGCAACCATCCTTATTATAACATGTCATTCATGGCTATAAATTATTTAAATCATATTCACCAAACCTACAACTGAAAGTCTTAACAACCATCCTTATAACATGTAATTCAATAACAATATTATTTTATGTTGAAAAAACACGTCAAAGCCAGTAACAGTCAGCTAGGGCAGGAAATAAATTTACAGCTTTAACACTGACCTGTAAAGTGCAAGAGAATGCATAAAACATATGCCAATGTAATAAGATACATTTTAACAGTGTCACGGATCTTATTCAAATTCCAGAAAACAAACCTCATGAATGTCCCCAGCTGGCACATTTATTTCCTTATAGTCATCCGCTTTCCTTGGACATTGCAAATTAGAGATCAGTGAATTAAAAGGAGAAAAACAGCTCAGATTCTAGAAAAGCATGCAGTAAACATCCTGCTCATATCACTAAGAAATCGTGGTTAATTTGAGGCAGACCTGGAATCCATTGTACCAGCATCTTCTGCAGTAATGAAAAAGGGGGAATTTGAGAAGACTTCCCTGGAAAACACAAGTCATACTAATAAACCAATATGGATAAGAAATGCATACAAAATATTTAAATCCAACTTATACTTCTTCAGGTTATACTACTATATTTTTTACATCGTACACATAGGTTTCTATTAGTCTAATAAAGGTCAAGCCTAAGGCCAAAAGAAAATCATACTCAGTAAGTATATGCTACCTTTGTTACAACTTACATGGAATCTACATCAAAGCAATCAAGATGAGATTGCCAAGGAAAGACCAGCTAAAATAAAAGTTGCAATCAATAATCCAAAGTTATAGTAACAAAACAAGATCACATCATATAATAAAATTTTATGACCTTATGTTCCTCTATTAAAGAAATTCCTAACAGCTAATACATGTATGATTAAAATAATACCCCCTCATTATACTGCTACTACTACTACTAATAATTATAATAATAACAATAATAGAATGTTGTAAATAGATAAGTTTGAAAGAAGCAAGTCTTTGGCCTAAGTAAGTTTTGTAAGCTGTAGATATTTTCAAAAGATTTTCTTAGTAGCTTCATTTTCTTGTTTGTTTAACTCTCCTATGTAATGTACCCTTCTAATTGAATACAAGAAGTCGAATAAAAACATTTTTCTCATATTTCTTATGGTATCAAAACTTATTAGGTTCTAGGCTAATAGAATTCTGCTATGCTCCTTTCTAGTGAATTCTGTACAGCCAGCCATAAGAATCTGGCTGGAATCCTTGTTGCACACTTTCATAAGCTGCTCGCTCATAGTCTTGCATAGAAAAAACTTGATAAGAATGTAGAGAAGGTTGGTATGAAGTATAAAGGCGTTTGAGCTTGAGATAGTCTAGCATAAAGGAAGAGGATCTTATAGCTAAATGCTATAGCGACCAAAGCAATCACAAAGATATTTACAATAAGCAAGATTGAAACAAAAAAAAAATCGCTAATGAGAATCAAGGCATAAATACTAATTTACTAAATCACGTCGTGCAACATACCAAAATCACATATTATATTCCATGATCTTTTAGACTATGTTCATCCTTTATTAAAGGAAATAGAATACTGAATGATCCTCCAGTCTATACAAAAGATTGAATGTGATGGAATGAGGCAAAAGAGACATTCATCTCTATTTATTCAAAACTTATTCCCCTAGGAAATTTTGTTACTACACCAAGTGACAAAATTAAGAGTGTTTTGTTTGTGTTTTTATCTTCTTCTTTTTTTCGTCGTATACAACCTACACTTAAATATTTATCCCTCAAAAAATTATATGCATCACTTATTTTCATTTAAAATATCACATTTAAAACCTATGTTTGATTAAAAACATCAAATTCCAATATCTATTATCCATAAATCACATAAAAAACCTATTTTCCATTTAAAAAAAATTCACAATCCTAAACACCCAAAATATCCAAAACACATACACCCCCACCCTAAATATTCGAAATGAAGTAATAGCCCATGGAATTCGTTTGCAACATTGGAGATAATTTAACTTGATCAATTTTTGTTGATTAAAAATAATTTGACTCGAGCATTCAAATGGCCAACATCCCCTAGTTCCGGTTAACTCCCATTACGCCCTAAGTTAGAGCGAAAAATGATTCCAATCTAAATAAAATGTTTAGGGGGTGCAGGTGTACGTGTAGGGAATGGGAAGAGGGAGGGGGAGAGGGCACTGTACAGTGTAATGATTTTACCCCATTAAATAAAAAACATATACTTAGCATATAAAACGACCACCCACTGAACCTCTGAAACAAGGATGGAGGTGAAAAGCTATTGCAGTATCTTGGTTATCAGCAAACCAAACAAATGAAAGATATGATACCCTATAAATTTGATATATCTTTCAAATTCAGAAGTGTAGACATCAGCTGCTTCTTCCAGGCTAGTTATTTCATATTTCTGCCTGAAAATTAAGGATGTGTCAGGAAAACTTAGGGTAAAAACGTGGTGATAAATGTTATAGTATAATCAGCTAGCAATTATATGATAAGAAAAGTTACAAGCCCTACAATGTTCTGGAATTGAGATGCTGCCACAGCACATACAGAAATAGATGAATATTATGCACCATTCTTGTAAGGCTATACAGAGGTGGCCCATAACGTTGTCGTTGCTCCTCCATTGGCCTGATGATAAACTTGAATTCAGCACAGAAACAATATGTAATGTTTTTGTTATGCTAAGCTCTCAGAAGTTATAAATGTGATAATAGCATTTTGATAGGATTTAATTAAAAGGTAGTGCATACCCCTGATCATCATTTATTTGTCGTATAAAATCCAACAAAACCTGCATGGCTTACATTATTATGAGATGAACTATGAAACGAACAGTATCAAAAGCACCACATGTACAGAGCACAGTAATAAAGAATAAAGATAAGTGGAAAAATATAACACTATCATTACATTCAAATGGGATTCCAACAACCATACAACGCAGTTTAGAGTGACTTAGGAGATACCTCTGGCACACCAACCAAGTACTTCACTAGAGTCTTGTAGATTCCTGTTGCGGAACCAAGCTCAGCTAATTGTCTCCTTCTGCAATGAGAACAAGCAACTATACATTTGTCTGGGTTGCAGAGTACAGAGAGGTAGTTGATAAAACGTACCGATCCATCTGTTGTCGCCATAGCAAAGCATATTTATCACGGATACTCCCACCAGAGTTAATCAAAGCATCAACTTCAGCCTGTTTGTTTCTCTCTGAGCGCTCTCTTTGTTGCCTGATTATTGTACCCCTAAAGTCTTGTGGCATATATGTCATAACTGCATCTTACACAAAGAGTAACCTTCATCGAAAGTTCATCTATGCATGTTAAATTAAATATCTTTATATCAAATGTATATCACGGACATGCCAATTACTCCATTAAAAACTAACTGTTAAATATATTGAAGACAACATCTCTGCAGAAAACATGCGCTGGATTAAGTATCAATTCAAACTCTCCTATGGAGAATGACTTACATTTTCAATCACAAGTAGCAGCATGTAAGTTTATGCATGGCAGGGCAATGATGTGAAAGACAAGGTCTAAATAAAACAATACAGAAAGACTTATTTCTATAAACTGTAGAGTGAATCTAATCCAATCATTTTCACTTCTACAATAAAAACAAAATTATCAATGGCATTAAACAACTGTCCCTAGCATCCTATTTACTATGACAGAAAATAGCTTGATAAGGAGAGAAAGTTGTTGCAAAACCCAGTACTTTTATCAAATTGTACTTCATAGTCACGTAACATGATTATCAAGGAAAGTTCTTGTAAGGCATGCAACATAATTTTGATTGTTGGGTGAAGCAAAAATTCTCGCAATTATCCACCAATGTGACCACCTTCTTCACCGGAAGATTGGTGCCTTCTTAAAATCATGAAGTGTGTGTTTGTTTGGGGGGTTGGATTTTACATCCACTATTCATCTTATTTTTTCCAAAAAAAAATATCAAATCAAACACCTATTTTTTAGTTTTTATACTATACTAAAAATCAATTTTACATTCAAAACATCACATCAACACCTATTTATATCACATCATACAATTACTATTTCAAATCCCAACTCAAAATCCAAACCCCCAAACAAACACACCCGAAGAAATCTCATCCCCAAGCACTAAGATATTGTCTTCCAACACATTATGAGATGTGGTAATCTAACAGACTTCCTTGCTAAACATGATATGCCTCATTTAGGTGGATCTTATAGCTTGGCTCTAATTCCTTTTCTTGGTGCTATTGTGTGTTATACTTCTTAGTCTTTGGTCTCTTCATCAGGTTTTGTCTTTCGGTTTTTGTTTCTCTTTGTTCCTATTTCATCCCCTACTGGCTCCTCAATATATACTCTTTTACTTCTTAAAAGAATTATAAAAAAAAAAAAACAAACATATGGGTTAAGATTATGGAAACCTGTGTTAAATACAAACTCTGAATTTTTTGCTTGAAAGTCTTCTAAATTCTTCAATGTAGATTTGAATTTTGCTTGAAGCCGCCCAAGAGCAGAACCCAATTCAGCATCTTCGACAATTGGCTTTTGTTGAAGCTGTTGAATGCAACATTAGGTCCAGCACGAGGAGTAATTTTATGAAAGTTCATGTTTGCTTTAAGGTAATTGCATTGAGGTATATATACACATAATATATATAGATGAATGACTTGTGATTGCCCAGAATGTGATTAGAATGTTCACCGCTGTGGGCCAGTGAGAGAATTCCAACAAGAAAAGGATCTCTTCAAGCCGTTCTCGATTCTTCCACATGTTTTCATCGACCTTGTGGGGGGGTTGACGCTCAGCTTCTTGTACCAATAAGCTTTCCTCTATAAAACATATAGGTGAAAGCGGAGTGCATTAAATAATCTTCTCCTACATTGACTATATACTGCTCCTCCTACATTGACTAGTGGATGCAGACATGACAAGATTAAAAAGTCCCAAAAAGTCCCAAATCAGCAATCATAGTAGAATACCCACAATATTCATAAAATCTAAAACGATGTCCGAAAGGTCATTCAAACTTCAGCAACGATTTACTGTACACAGTTGTAGTGATTGAAATTTCCTCGAGGGGTGAAGAAATGATGAGCAGGAAATCACTTATAATTATTGCAATGGAAAAGGAGCGAAGGCGGTGGTGTGCAAAGCGGCACGTTAATTTGAAGGGGGTCGTGGAAAACCTGGGGTAGTAGGAGAGCCCGAAAGAAGTTCGACAGCCATGGCATACATCTGATCGGAGAGACGAGAAACTTCGTTTGAGAGGGGTGGAAAAGCATACTTGTCGTAGTAAGAAGCCAGAAACGCCCTCGTTATCGGCACCAATCCCTCCGTCGAAACCATTTTTGTCTTCTCGCGATGACTGGAACAATCGACTTTTTCAACAACCAGGCTAGAACGGGGAACCTGCCTGCCTTTCCTCTCTCTCTAAACGCAAGACTTTCAATGCGTTCAATGTTGACAGTATCATTCCATTATTCTTAATGAGATACTCGGTTGAATTTTAAATAAATTATTTAATTAATATTTAATTTATAAGAATTTTTTATTTTAATTGAAAATATTATTATTATTATTATTTTTATTTATTTTTAATAAAAATAATTATATTAATATTAATTTTTTTTATAAATTATAAATATATTATTATATAATTAAATTACATAAATAAAAATATGAAATTATTTTATAAAATTTTATTGATTAATAAAATATATTATCGCTCTTACGAATTAATAATATATATTATTTATTAATTTATTATAAAAATTTCAAAAATTTATTTTGTTATTTTATAAGATTCCGAGAAGAAAACTGCTCCTAGAAATTTCACTAAGAACTATAGTTTAGTTTTTCTTTTAATTAAAAAATAATTTATAAATTTTATATATTTTTATCTATTTTAGTTTTTATATTTTAATTTAAATTTAAGTTTTTATTAAAATTATATTCTTATTTATTTTATTTTATTTTATTTTTTGTTAATTTTAATTTTATTATTTATAAAATAATTTTATAATTGATACATATGGTAAATTATTTATTTATTTAATATTTATTAAAATTTATACTTAATTAATTATGATAAAATAATTATAAATTATTTATATTAAATTTAAATTATTATTATACTTATAAATAATATCATAAATAAAAAATAATATTAGTAATAGAAAATAGGTAACATTAAATAAGAAACAAACTTAAAATACAATAGAAAATCAAATATACAATATTCAATAATATTGACTATTTTTATCTATATTTCATATAAATATTTTTAATAATATTAATTTTTTATTTTTAATTTAAATGTATATTATTTTTTTTATGATTTATCGTATAATATTTAAAATATTAATAAAAAATTATTATAATATTATATCGGTAAACTATATTTATTTTATAATAGGTTTTTAGTAAAAATTTAATATTATTAATAAAAATACAATGGGATCAAGTTATGTGGTTCTAAGTCTATACAGAACTTAAAAAATTGAAAACATAAAAGAAAATAGAAATAGAGAAAATATCAGGGAAGCTATTGAAATAAAAAACACGGGAGCCCCGCCGCATCGGCCCGAATGAAGCCGCGAGCCGCCGCGGGGATGTTGGCCGGGGCTAGCGTGCGCGCGTCGGTAAAGGAGCATGCCGCATCCGCCAAGGCATCTGCCACACGATTGTCCTCACGATAGATGTGGGAGATCCTCCACTCAATGGTGCGCAGCTGTAGGCACAAGTAATGGAGACATGGCTGCAAAGTCCAATGTCCCGTCGAAGAGGAGATCAGAGCAATATTGTTGGTCGAGCCCATTTCGATCCACAAGGGAAGGAAGCCATGCCCCATTGCCAGATCCACATCAGACCGAATCGCTTGTAGTTTAGCCAAAGTATTTGTTGCATGTAGGAGTGAGCCCTGAAAGGCCGCAAGGGCAGCGCCGGTGGCGTCGCTAATCATGCCTACGGCCCTCACCGTGCCAGGGTTGCCAGGCGATGCTCCGTCTGTGTTCAGTTTGAACACCACTTCCTTTATTTGATTGATATGGTTGAATCCTCTCAGGGTTTTGTTTGGTAAGGCATGTCGCTCTGTGGATTGGTTTGCCGTTCCCTTGCTATCATCTAGCAACATAGAGGCATCACAGCCCTGAAAGGCGACAGTGTGTCTAAGGGTTTAAGGTTTGGGGTTTGGGGTTTGGGGTTTAGGGCTTAGGGCTTAGGGCTTAGGGGTTAGGGTTTAGGGTTTAGGGTTTTTTTTTTTTTTGGCTGGGCTCAAAGAGCTGTCTACGTACCCAAACGGGATCAAGCCATACGTAGTTCTGCAAAGTTCGGTACAAGTGCTGGAAAAGGAAATAAATAAAAATTTAAAAAATAAAAGCTAACGGAAGCGAAAGCACGGGAGGCCCACCGCGTCAGCATGGATGAGGCCACGAGTCCTCGCAGGGATGTCCGCCGGCTCCAGGATCCGCGTGTGAGGAAGGGCAACAGAGGTGTTCGCCAAGTTGTCCGCCACTTTATTGCCCTCGCGATAAATATGAGATATCCTCCACTCGATGCTGCGAAGCTGTAGGCGCAAGTGGTGGAGACAAGGCTGGAGAGTCCAGTGTCCCGTCGAGGAGGAGATGAGAGAGATACCGCTGGTAGAGTCCGTCTCGATCCAGAGAGGGAGGAGGCCGCGCGCTACCGCCAGGTCCACGCCGGATCGAATCGCTTGCAATTCAGCCAAAGTGTTTGTCGTATCCAAAAGGGGAACTTGGAATGCCACGAGTGGAGCGCCGGTGGCATCCCGAATGACGCCCGCGGCTCCAGCAGCGCCTGGATTCCCGAGCGATGCCCCATCAGTATTAAGTTTGACCCAGCCTGGAGACGGAGTTTCCCAACGCACCATGACCGGCGGCTGAAGAACCGGAGGTGGGAGGCGAAGGCCGATACTAGAGGCTAGGTGCACCTCCCCAGGCCAGTGCTGACGCTGAAGGATGCCAGCACGGCCTAAGACCTGCAAATGAGAGTGAATACGCCAAATAATCCGGTCAGATGAAATCTGGATACCTCGGTGTTTGGCGTCATTCCGTGCCGTCCAAAGAAACCAGAAGGCCAGAAGTGGGACATAAGTACGGATACTCCGCGCATGAGGGGAGGACAAACGCCAAGCAGAAACCATCAGGTGGGGCGCATGTGTCCGCGGGAGTTGGATGCGAAATAGGTCGGCGAGATGGCGCCACACGCGCTGGGCAACCGCCGACGAGAAGAATAAGTGCTCAAACGTCTTGGATTCACGGCAGCACTGGCAGCGAGAAACAATAGGGAGACCCAGCCTCCAAAGGGCCTCATCAACGGGTATCCGACGGCGAAATAGACGCCATAGGAAAACCGACATCGTAGGCGTAAGGAGGGGCGACCAAAGGCTGCAGGAAAGCCAGCTCCGAGCCCCTACTGTCCGGCTCATCTCCCAGGCTGAAGTAGTAGTAAAAATACCTGTGTCCGAAGCCTTCCATATCGGCTGGTCAGCATTCAGAAGATCGAAGGGAATCGCAGAGACCTGGTGAACAAGAGGTGTCGGGAGATAGGCCCGGAGACGCAATAAATCCCACGAACCATGTAGCCACATCTCGTGCACCCGGATCGGCGGGGGACGGTCCTGGCGGTACGTGTAGAAGGGGTGGTCCCCACACCAAGTATCATACCAGAAGAAACAGTCCCCACGCCCCAAATTCCAAATGATCTGCGTTTGCGCCTCATCTCAAATCCGGCAAAGACGCTTCCAAACCGGACTGTCGTAGGTCCGGCAGGGGGCGAAGCCCGGGAAGGAGCTGCGGAAATATTTATGCTGAAGCGCGCGAGCCCAAAGAGAGGAACCGTCTCTGAGGCGCCACCATAATTTAAGCGAGAAGGCTCGAACCATATCGGACAATCGGCGAATGCCAAGCCCGCCCTCGTCCTGGGGCCTCGCTGCATCCATCCAGGAAATCCAATGGCGGCGACGGTGACCATGATAAGAGCCCCATAAAAAACGAGCAAAGAGCTGCTCCACTTAGTGTAGGACAGCCTGAGGGGGGTTAAGGACTTGTAGTAGGTAAAGGGGAAGCGAGAAGAGCGTGCTTCTGATCAATTGCAAGCGACCCCCATGAGAGAGAACGGAGCGGTCCCAACGCTGCAGATATCGCCGCAGTTTCCCAAGGAGGTCTTCATAGAGGATATTACGCCGATTGCCCACATAGAGCGGGGCGCCAAGGTACATAAGGGGGAGTCCAGCCCTGCCGAAACCAGTCACTGATTGAAGCTGTCGCTGGACTCTCTCCGGGCATCGGCGGCTAAAGACCAGCTGACTTTTCTGACAGTTCACCATCTGACCAGTAATCCGCGCATAAGTCGTCAGAAAATCCGTCAGGAGGCTGATTCGATCACCACAAGTATTGGCAAATATGAGAACATCATCCGCATAGGCTAGGTGCGTCAAACGGAACCGACCACGACACCGATAGTACAGGTCCGGGTACCGATTGTATAGGCGCTCCAAACCGCGACATAAGAGATCTGCAGCCAAAACAAAGAGGGTCGGGGACAGGGGGTCTCCCTGCCTGAGGCCTCGCGATGAGGGGAAGAAACCGCCCAAGTCCCCATTCACAAGAATCGAGTACCAAGCATGCTCAACACAATTCATGATCAAGGTGATGAAATGAGGCGGAAAACCGAACCTGGTAAGGGCATGTCGCAAGAACCGCCACGATACCCGATCGTATGCCTTATTCAAATCCAGTTTCAGCAGCAAATTGTGTGAGTCCCCCCTCAGATTGAGATCATGTACCATTTCCGATGCCAGCAAAATATTGTCTGCGATTGCCCGACCTTTGACAAAACCACTCTGATGTGGCGACAGAAGCTGCGGCAGTAACGGACCAAGTCGCACAGTGAGTAGCTTCGTGAAGATCTTATAACTCACATTACAGAGGCTGATAGGCCGAAAATCAGCCCAAGCGACTGGCCCGTCCGTCTTGGGGATAAGGACAAGTGTCGTTGCCGTATAGAACTTCAGGAGAGGAGCTCCCGAGAAGAAATCCAGAACAGCATCGAAAACATCCTCGTGAATAATATCCCAACACGTTTGATAGAAAGCGGCAGAAAAGCCATCGGGGCCAGCCACACTATCCTTGTCAATCGAGAAAACCACATCACGAACCTCTACAAGTGTTGGTGGCTCCAGCAACCGAGCACACTCAGCCAACGGAACCTGAGGCGGTGGGTCCGCCAGTGCATCCATCCCCGATGTGTCTGCATCATCAGGCTGCCAAAACATCTCGGAGAAGTAGGTAATAGCTGACTGCTTAATAGCTGAGTGATCAGTGAGGGTACGAGCACCGTCCCTCATCAAGAAAATCGTAGACCGCCGACGCCGTTCCTTCACCATGGAGTGGAACATACGGGAGTTTCGCTCTCCCTCAACTGCCCATCGACAGGCTGCTT